AGACATGCCAGCTGGATTCAATTCAACCTTGGCAAGTGGCTTAACCCTCTGAACCTCAGTGTCCTCATTTCTAAAGTGGGAGCAGTGACATTTCATGGGCATGCCCCACATGGGTTATTTCTGAGACAGGCACAATTATTAACCCCATTTCATGGATGAGAAAGCTGAGACTCAGAGAGGTTAAGGGGCTCACCCAAGGTCACACAGCTGGGAGAGGCGCCCACCAGCAGTGCCAGCGACTCGGCAAGAAACTCTATGACCTTGGACGGCACATTTACCGCTCTAGCTGGGTTTCTCCATCCGAACTGAAGAAGTGGGTCTGTGACTCTGATTGGAATTTCCTCTGAGATTGGCTCTAAGAGGCAAGAGGAGGCTGAAGAGAGGGGACATGGGCAGGAGGGGGGAGGAAGGCGAAATCCATCAAGCACCTGTTGAGTGCCAGGTACTTTACAAAGATGTCTAGTTTAATCCTTGAGACAGCTCTGCTAGGTCATCACGATCACCCCCACTTTGTAAATGAGAGACTTGAGGGCTAAGAAGTCCAGAGGCATGCAGTGGGTTAGGGCAGCAGGCCCAGGGCCGGACAGATGGGGAGGGGACCAATTCTGTCTGCTCTGACTTTGGGGACAAGGAAAGGAGGGTGGGCATAGGGTGGACAGTGGGATGTGAGCTGGGAGGTTGGAGGGCAGGGAGTGTGACAGGACATAGGGAAATGGGTCATGACAGTCTGGATGGGTGGTGTTGGGCCAGGGAGGCTTGTGTGGAAGGAAAAGTGTAGAGGGGAGACCCGGAGGGAAGGGGAGAGCACCCCGGAACTAAGATAAGATGGAGGCTAGTGGGGGACAAGCTAGATGGGGGTTGCCGTGGGTTCAAGCTCTGCTTCCCCTCTTCCAACTGTGTAAGGAACAAGCCCCTTCCAAGACTTGGTTTCCCCACTTGGGCACAATCCCATCTGTTGGGTAAGGGTGTCTTGACATTTTGCTGACACGCTTACAGCCTGGTTTAAGAGATCCCCAATTTCTCCGCTTCCCAATCAACTGGTCTGTGGAGACCCTGAGCTCCATCTCATAACTCATCAAATCAGAGACAGCTGGACCTGTGTGTGCGTGTGTGTGTGTGCGTGTGTGGGTGTGCATGCGTGTGTGTGTGTATGGTGTCCCTGTCATGCACAGCTAGGGACTGTCATGAGCTTGACAGGCCCCTTGTACCCAAGGTGAAAGATGCAGGGGGCTCCATGACCATCCACACATTCGGTGCCTACTTTGGACTCACAGTGACCTGGATCCTCTACCGACCCAACCTGTATCAGAGCAAGGAAAGGCAGAGTCCTGTGTACCACTCGGACCTCTTTGCCATGATCGGTGAGAGCTGCTATAATGACCGAGGGCCACCATGATGGGTGAGGGTCATCATAAAGAATTCGGGCCACCATAGGCACACCTGATCCCCACGTGGTGTGATGGGTGGCCACCAGTCCCCCTTGGCAGAAGGGCAGAGGGAAGGTGCCCAAAGACACCTCCAGGATCCCATATTCTCATTGCTATTCCCCACGGGACTGGAATAAGTTGGTCAGTCGCCTGTGCTTTTGCTAGGATGCCCGAGAACAGACATAGTGGTACCCATCCTGGGGCCAGGCCAGGGTGTTCCTACCTCCTGTGTCCATACATTCCAGAGAACACACATCAGCCACCCACTCTGGTCTCTTAAATAACCCAGGCTTCAGTTCCTCACGGAGCAGGGAAAGGGAAGACTGTGCTACCCGATGAATTCCCCGCAGTGGAGAAAGTCTCCCCCGTGGTGCTGTGAGAGCAGGGTGGGAGGTATTTAGCCCAGCCATGGGGTCAGGGGACACTTCCTGGAGTGGAGTAGAAGGCCAAGCGGGAGTTGGTAGTGAGTCAGGCAGGGAGCCCCCAGCATGAGGAAAGTGATGGGGTGGGAAAGAGCGAGGGCGTGGGAGTCGCTGGACAGCTCTGGAGCTAAAGGACAGGACGTCTGCCTGAGCTCTGCTGGGCCCATCTAACACCTCTTCTCCCGGGCCCACCGGCCCTGTCTGGTCTGGCCAGGCACCCTCTTCCTGTGGATGTACTGGCCCAGCTTCAACTCGGCTGTGTCCAATCACGGAGACGCCCAGCACCGAGCTGCCATCAACACCTACTGCTCCTTGGCGGCCTGCGTGCTCACCGCAGTGGCGCTGTCCAGCGCCCTGCACAAGAAGGGCAAGCTGGACATGGTGAGCAGTGGCGGGGCAGCAGGCGGGCCCGGGGAGAGGTGTGGCTATGACCCCCTGTGCCCGGCGGGCACAAATCAGCACGCCCTGCCAACACCTCTGTGAGGCAGGCAGCGTCAGGGTCTGTGCACCCGTCTTGCAGATGAAACTGAGGCTCAGACAGAAGCGATTCGTCCAGGTTACAGAGCCAGTTTTCAACAGAGCCCGGGACCAGACTCATGGAGATTCTGTTATGCCGGCTGCTCTGGATGAGCTGGGTACCCCTCCTTGTTCGCTTCCCCACAGGCTGGGGGGCTGACAGCTGTTCTGGGCTGAGCACCACATCAGACCTGCCCAGCAGAGTTGCTGGGGCAAACTGCCCTCTGCCAGGCTTCTGGTCCTAGACACTGGC